TTATCATATTCCTCATCATCATCATCATTATTATTATTATTTTTTTCTTATTATTATTATTATTATTATTATTATTATTTCTTATTACTATTATTATTATTAATAATTTATTATTATTATTCTGATGTGGCGACCCCTGATTAATAAAGGGACTAAGCCGACAAGAAAATGAATGAATGAATGAATAATAATAAGTATGTAATAAGTATTAATACTGTTGTTAGTCATCATCATCATCATAATTATCATCATCATCATCATCATCATCATCACCCCCACCACCACCACCACAACAACAACAACAATAATAATAATACTATTAATAATAATAACATAACAATTATTATTGTGAATAACAACAACAACAACAATAATAATATTACTATTAATTGTAGCATCACTATTATACATGAATTCTGCTCAGTATTTTAAGATAATTATCTCACTAGTCTGTTCACTCTTCCAATGAAGTCTGCTGTGTTTTGTAAATTATTCTGTGTGTGATTTATAAAGCAGAATTCTGACTCCAGCACAGAAAATGTGAGTCCAGTCTCCCATCTTTCAGAAGTAATAAACACATAATATTTCACAGCCATAACTCTGAAAACAAAGCAGAATAATACTGTGGTGCTCCAGGAATTTGTTGGCAAATGTTATGAAATAAATCTGGGCATTCAATACTTCTGCAAAACACTGTTCTGTAGCTTTTCTAAACAACAGCTAAAAATTGATGGCTTCTATTGTGTAATGTGCAACGAATATTGTCAGAGTGTCTGTACAGCATATATCACATTGCTCATAGTTTTACTGTACATGAAAACTTATGATATTTTAATTATTTAACATATCTCTATTGTAATTGTCAACAGCAGCTTCTTCTGTACTTAAATGGCAATTACAGTTTTAAATAGTTTTACTAGGAGCTACGAAAGCTTTAATATCAACTTAGGCCATAAATAATGGCTTTTGAAGTAATTATTAAATAAAATAAAATAAAATAAAATAAAATAAAATAAAATAAAATAAAATTAAATTAAATTAAATTAAATTAAATTAAATTAAATAAATTAAATTAAATTAAATTAAATTAAATTAAAAGTAAGTAAAAATAAAAGTACAAGCTCTAGAGTTGTAGTTTAAACACATTAGATTGTGACACTGTTTGTCAGTTCTTCTGAATGGCGGATTTGGGAAACAAAAAATCGCTCAACTACACATCTAACGATACAACTTGGACTCTTAGTTGAGTAACGATGGTTTCGTGAAATGCACCTCAGCTTGACTCATGTACCGATCTGCGGAATATTGCGGTGACCTTGCGGTTCACAGACTCAATCTGAGTGTCCTCGCTCTGTATAAATATATGGCCCAGCCTGGTTTTATTTGGCCCTTTTATTACCTGTTAATAATATATAAGCTGGCGTGCTCATGCGCTGGATATTGAGCAATCACCTTGGGGAGTAACCTATTTGTGCTTCAGAAATGTTTGATCAGCGCCGTGAAAAATGTCTGTCGGCTGTGAGACGCATTAAATGTGATCAGGTCTGCGCTCTTGTC